GTCGTATTTGCATCCGATTCGACAGATTTGTCATTGCATAAAAAATCGAGGATCAGTAGACGTTGATGGCACCGCTAGATCTGAAGAATCAAAGGATTTGGGACACTTTCCGAGTAACGTTTTAATAGCAGGATGAATCCTCGTCTGTTTTGATGTCTCTGTAGCTTGAGGAATTTGGCACTGCTTGCGATTATAAAAAGTTGGTGATTATGATGTAGCGTAAAAAATGGAAAATCAAATATAAAGGATGTAATATAGAAACGTATCTGTATCAATATTTAAGAATCACTAATCGTATCGGCTGGCCATTTGCTATACATGATCGTTGCAGATGCGCTCAGTTCTGTATATATTTTCAAGGCACGAGACTTTTCTCTCGAAAGTAGCTTCAACGCGAGAAACTTCACATGCTGATTTACATCGCATGATCATTAGAATATGTTAGACAAATAAAATTCGTAATACCTGACAGTTACATGTGACACACTGGTACATAACACTATTATGTATATTATAACGTGACAATAGATGCAGACACAGAGCTATACATATTTATTTTACACGTGAACTATCGAGAGAGAATTGTCATACAAATTTTATCTCTTGTTGGATGGGAAAACTTCTGTGTACTTTACTATTATACATTTCAAAAATTGCATTACATTATGGTTGTTTACATAACTACATAATATAAAAGGCATCCAAGGCACAGACGTTGGGTGGCGCGCAACAAAGTATAGTGCTTCATCAATTTTTGAAACTAAATTTGAAATCGAATTGTCGTAGACTTTAAAATACATTTCATTTCGAAAATTAGATTCGAAGACTCAGGCAAGATTGTTTTGTAAACGGGCTTCGCGACTAATCTATAACGATTCAGTTAGCAAAAAAAAAAAAATGAAGACTGATGATAACGTGAGATATAAGCTACAATCATTATCTTGCATATGAAAAACTATTCATGTACACGTATATCTTCTGCACGTACTATCTTATAGTAATGCACCGTGTTCGTTTCGTACGCTACAGAGTTCAATGTGTTAAAAAAATTTCGCAATTCCATTCTAATCGATTCACTACTTAATAATTCACCGACACATAGATTACGATCTAATTAATGATCTATAATTTGTGTGCACTTCTCAATATCAAGCAAAATCATATCGTATCTTGCAGAAAGAAACTGATTCAAAGAAAGATATAAAAATGGCCATAAATTTATAGCATTTTTCTATTTCTAGTTTTGTTCTCTAATATAGAATACCGAATCGATTCTTTCATACAAAATACAATCAGATTAATTATCGCAGTATCAAACAATAAATTTCCTTTTATTAGAATGGACTGAAAGCATCTTACATTTTAGCTTTTTTTTGAAGTCGTCAATTATTGTCTCCATCAGTTGTATACTTAGCGCAATTATACCACATTATGCAATATGGAAATATTTTATCGGTGTTTACGTTTGTACCAAACAACTTGTTCCAATTATATCCGACTGTAAATTACATCTTATTCTTTCCTTAACATTTAATTAGGCAAATATTTTCTTTCCTCCTACTTTGTCTACCCTGAAAAAATTGTAATATAATAATTGTAGTCGAACAAGTAGCTTTGTTCCCTTTCATACTTTCTTTTGTTATCACCGAATCGCGAGTTTGCCAATAGCAATCGAATAGCAAAGAATCACAGCTAGGCACACATCGGCAAAACTAATGACAGCAAACGGCAGTGAAAAAAGATGGTATATTGTCTATTATTAGGCACTGTTAAATATCTGACTGTTTTAAGACACTAAATATCGATGTACTTTTGAGATACTTGATCTGACACTTTGGGAACGTGTGATTAGATATACAATGAAAGAATTGCATTTCTCTGATAAAATATCACAGTGCGTAAATTAAAACGTATTATGCGAATATTTTATTCTTTTTGGCACCTTTCGTAATGTAAAAAAGTAATAAACGTAATATCAAGCTCAACTCCGATCAATTGTTAAATGTAACTTTTAGTTAAGCAATATATAAATCTATTAATAGATAACTTCTTTTCATTTTCACACATACACTTGTATATACTCGCATGACAATTTCCATACAGAAATATATATTTATATACAGAGCACGTAAAATTTCATATATTTATAACACATAAGGACTTACCTAATCGTGTATTGTTCTTAGGAATTGTGTGTAATATGGAAAGCGTCGAATCGCATGATGCACAATAATCGAGAATACAATGCAATATAATCTGTATAGAGATGGAGTATAAGCCATGACTGTAGATGATCTTTCTACAGATTAGTGAATTCAATGTTTCATCGGACGCAGTTAACTTCCAATAGTCAACGTGAGATCAACGTCCAACATTTTACATTGAAATATAGATTGTATCAATAAAAGCCCGCAACTACATTAAAAGTTATTTAACGATAAATTTGAATAAATCTATACAGACATAAATGTACTTTAAAGCACACACGTTAGTTAACAGGCATAATCGTTAGATTATGCTCGATTTAAACAGAATATTTTTTCGCTTCCTATAATTGGGAGAATTTACTTTCATCAATTTTTTTTTATCATCACAATTAAAAATCGTCTAAGATTTCAATTAAAAGGATTTTGTTTGTAGTATAACACTGACAAATATGTCCACAATAAGTCTCCATATAAAATAAAGTATTAGACTGATGCATAGATCTGAAAAATATTTTTTTCATATATATAGATGTATATATATATATATGATTATATCTATATAATATTCTTTTTTTCCGTGTAACAGCCACAAAAGTTTTTACAGCATCTATAAACATGTACATCTTATAATCATCATAAGATTTCTCAAATATCTTTCACGTTATAAATATCTTTTTTCGCGTAACTTCTCTTAAGTTTTTATATTTTCTTCAAACGCATTACATATTCATTTCATTATAGATATAAAGCAACTTACTGTAATTGTATTTCGTCTGTGCACAGTCTCCGTAACTCTCATGTGTGTGGCGAATATGGCCAATTATAGCTAAATTCTTAAAAGTGCATCGAAACTAATCGTTTCTTAACAAAAAAAAAAAAAAAATAAAAATTTTAGTGATGCATATTACTTATGACACAGAACTTATGGCGTTATGGGGCGGACCCATCTGCGTTAAAACTTTGTCTAACCACTGTAAAGGTCCATGCAGATGTGCCTCAATCCAACAGGGAGTTGATGTGACATCCTGCCTATGGTACTCGGCACCCCATCCCTTTACGAAAGACATTCTATAAGCAATAAAGATAAAAAATATAACTACATCATGTTCAAATTCTTGCACGTATTTCTTATTGCATAAAAATATCGTGAATTAAAATTATACCTAATTGTACACATTTTCGTTAACTCGTAGACAGCTTCAAAGCCATGATTTACGCTTTGCGACAGAAGCTGGGCGAATTCTTGATTGTTGAATATCTTTAAGGAACAACCCGGTGGAATTTTACAAACTGTGCTGGGATGAAAGCCGTGGTGGTGATTGCAATTCCTAGATTGTACAAATATCGCCGAATCTGAAAGGCACTCGGCATAAACCTCTCCCCCCACGTAATACAGATGCACTCCTTTGCCTATATGTCGCCTCGTGTTCTCTATCGTAGAATTTCGATTTACATTGGACAGCTGCCCGAGACAGAAGCGATCGGAATTGTTGCTCGGATTTGTAAAACCGTCAATAATGACAGAATGTGTTTGACAGTGAAACACCTCGCCCACTCGACAATTCAACTCGTAATAAGCGATCGAGGCCCAATAGGGTGGTTCTTGGTAACATACAGGTGTGGCTGATTCGATGGACGTGCTTGTATCCATCGGGACTGAATCCGAAGAAGTGGTTTGCCCGGTCTGAGAGCCATCTTCGGGTGGAGAGTATGCTGGCGGTGGTGTCTCTGGTAATCCATTAGTACCATATGGACTTTGAGGATTTGGCAAGGTTGTGCTGCCTGGACTAGGCACAGAACCAACGGATGACATAGGCGATGTCGGATTTACACCGGTTGTGGAACTGGCATTGAAACCACTAGATGAATAGGACACATTGTGTGGCATGCTCGGATCGGCCAATTGCTGAAACGGCAATAGAGAATGGCCGGGAGCATATTCCGAGTGTCTAGGAACCAACACTGGTGGCAGTACCGGACTCTCTACCCTCTTGTAGTGATAGGGATTAATGCAGACCTCCTTCTGCTTGGCAGAGAACGGAAACTGACACAGATCCAATGGCTTTAATTCGTGATGCGATTGGAGATCCGGCCATCGCCAAACCCTACAATATATCACATGTGGCAGACCCTTGCGATGAGAAACCTGCAATCTGCCGTCCAAACTCCTGGGAATCGTTACGCATTTACTCGGTGTTCCAGGACAGCTAAGCGCTCGCTCTAACTCTTCGACCGCACCTTTGCGCTTCTTCAGTTTTTTTACTAATGAATCTACTGCTTTTTCAGCCCATTTTTCTTCTTCATCCCCCTGCTTCCAACCAAGCAGTTTTTTCACAGCGGGGCTGGTGAACGAGAACAAACTATTTAACGAAGACATCGGTCCAGAACTTGAAGCTCCTTCTTCATCATCCATATTGAAAAGATGATGTGTTAATTAAAAGTGGCGCACAAAATCCTTAGCCATATCTGTAGAGAAGCTTGGTCAGCGATCTGAAACCATTATATTTCTTTGATTTTTATAAGATTTTTAAAAATAGAATTCTTATGTACACAATTGTGTAACTGTAAAGTCTATTGAACTAGATAATCTCTTTTCCAAATTCTTGAAAGAAGATAACAGATATCTTTACCTAAAATAACAATGTATTTCTTAAACTTAAAAAAAAAAAAATACGTGTTATCTAAAAAAAAAACCACACTGATTAAAAAGAGACAATTTTTTATGAGATGATTTGCAAATTTATTTATTCAAATTTACATTTATATTTATTGTTAAATTTTTTTTCGTAAAAAAATCTTTGATTGCGCACACTGGACAAAGCCGCGAATTTCGTCGGTCACCAATCCGAATTTTTGCGATGCTATTTTTACAGGAATGCGAGTTTTGGTATGTCTCCTTCCACCGTTCTGCGTCAACTCACTGACAAAGAACAAAATCCCATAAATATTGAAATTGCGAGTTTCGAGACGGAACGTCCGATATTTCGTGCGATATTTCGAATACGCCAATCGCTTGCTCCGTAAAAGCGCACGAGGGAATTTGCCGCGCGGACATAACGCTGAAAAAAATTAATCACCGACACATAATACAATCAATTAATTTATCAACGATACGAATGCTAAAGAATTTAGCCCGCTATTTCCTGTGATTGAGAGATCCTTTCGCTCTCCTCATTATGTTTGTTTATTAACGTCAAGATCGGTGATTTCGCGAATACGTCCTCGTTTCGAACGCATCCTCGAATGAGCAAGGTGGTCCAGCGGATGCTGAAATATCGCGCGTGAGGTTAATCACGCGGCGGAGCTGCCGTACGCTCCCGTCGTCAAAGACGTCGCCGAGCGCGAAGTGACGAAGCGCAGGGGGAGGGGACGCGCGCGCGCGCGCGCGCGCCGGAAATGCGCGCGAGCACCCACACAACATACACCGTCGGGACTACACCCTTCCCCGAATCGCGACGTAGCCGGGAACACCACCGCGCACTCGGCGGCTCCGCACTCGCAACGTTCGTTCACTTACGCGCGACTCCCTGACGATTCAGCATTGTTTTTACCACTGTCTCCCACTCTCGCCGCCTGTCGTCCATCGACGCCACGCTCTCGCCATTACGATCTCTCTCGGCCAGCGCAAAAAGCGCTCGCGGAAGGGAGGAGGGGAATAGCAGGAGGATTATCGATTGCGCCGTTCGACTCCTGGAGACTGGCTCGACCGTCCGATGACAATTCCGCGAACGCGGCATACACGACGTCGAGATCGATCCCAAATCGGTTTCGCGTTGCCGCGCACCGCCGTCCCGCGCCGATTTACCCGCGATCCGTTACCATTCTACGCGTTCAAACGCCAACCGACGGTCGTCGTCGTCGACGGCAACAACGACGACGACGACGATGACGGAGGAAATGCGGACCGATCGCCGCGTCGCCGACGATTTCCCGAATTCCGGACTTGCGGAAGTTCACGTAACGCCGCTCCCCGCCTCGCTCCGCAAAATGCACGATCAACTCCCGTCAGACGTTACATAGAGAACGGAGAACCTCGAACGCGCCACACCGTCCACCTTGCGCGCGCGGCAACACACTATGCAACACACTATACGACGAATGTTTACTCGGCGGATCGCGTTGAAGCGAGAGAGAGAGAGAGAGAGAGAGATATGCACTTATTTCCCGTTCGCAAAGTGTATGGACACTCTCATGTCAAGGCGTATTTCTGCGCCATTCTGGATGACGAATGGACAGATTTTTGTAATTAAAATTAATTAAATAATTATAAAATAAGTAAAAAATAAATAATTAATAAATAAATTATTTAATTCTTAAAAATCTATTCGCCCAGATGGCGTAAAAATACGGCTTGATTTTTCACATGAGAATGTCCATGCTCGAGTACGTTTATTCAATTTGGGACGGCCAACAAATGTCAGTTTTTTCCAATATATAAAATTAACTTCAATTCCAATTTAACTTCTTTTCTTAGTTTTAAGAATTAGAAAGATAAAATTAAATCGAGATTAATCTATATCGATAGAAACGAAAATCACAATGTCATAGGAATTTGAATTGATTGTTAAATTGGCTGGAAAAAAATAAAAGCCTCGATCTTTGTTTTATGATGAAACTGCTTAGCGAAAAAGTGAATTTTTAATTTTTAAAAATTAAAATCACTATTTATTTAAAAATACAATCTTACTTGTCCAATTTATTTAAAAATACAATCTTACTTGTTCATCTTACTTGTCAAAATCCAAGTGATATTTTGTTTCGAAGTCGAATCAACTGACAACTGAAGACTTTGATCGATCTTTGTTCAAGATCAAGTTTGCGCCTGAATCTCTTTTGACCTGAACCTCTTTTGCGTCTACCTATTTGAATAAAGGGATTTGAATACAAAAGGGACCTATATATGAAATTTCATTCCAAGCTTTGTTACCTGTCGAGAATTGTGAACAATGGTCTAACATCACGGATGTAGTATAGTATGGACTCCGAACACCCTTTGTTCTGCCATCTATTGAATGAAGCCAACATCTAGAAAAAGAGCGAGAGGGACTGGTTTTCTTACTGCGCCTATTTGTCCGCGCAGAAAGAAATGGAGAACAGAAGGGCTCGATATGTTGGCTTCACTTTTCTGATTGTTGATGCGGAGTCCATGTATGCTACGTCCATGTCCAACATCTAATAATGCAACTGCTGCCTTAAGGATATGTTCGAAAATTTGTTGCCAATATTGAGAATGACTGAGTTCAGCAGAAAAAGCAGCTTTGTAACAGGTGACACCCGTTTGACGTCCCGATTGATCACTAGCCACTTACAGGGGCCGGCGCCTAGAATTTTTCCACTGTTCAAGCGCTGTGAGTGGCTAATGGCTGTGAGTGGCTAATCAATCGAGACGTAGTCAAACGGGTGTCACTCCTTTGCAACTGTGTAAATTCTTAATATGTATTATACACATATATATATATATATATATATATATACATTTACATTCATGAAGAATGATGGGCAAAAACCAATCAAAGATTTTTACACAGTTGCAAAGCTGCTTTTTCTGCTGAACGCAGCCAATATAACTACGAGTGCGAGAAATGCAGGCTACGAATGGGAGAGTCCCGTTTGACCACGTCCCAATTGACTACAACCACTCACAGGGGCCTAGAATTTTTCCACTATTCAAGCGCTGTGAGTGGTTAGTGGTCAATCGGAACGTGATCAAACGGGTGCCATCCGCTACGAATCTCTTAAGATGCAGCCTTAAATAGCTAAATAGTAATTGGTTGGGTACGAAGTAAGAACCAATCACATTGAATCAGTATGTTAGGTTTGTTCCTTTTCTCTTTCATGCTTTTCTCAAATGTATCTATCTCATTTCAAATGGAAATACAAGTGTACACTATTTCAGTTATAAAAAATTAACTTATTTCTGTAATACCGCTTTCGCGTTATTCCGAAATTAGTCTATATTCTAATCTTTTTACCCGCATGAATACGAATAAATTCTCTCTACGATTGCTTACTTATGTCTGATTCCACCAACGTAGATTTACTTTAATCTCGGTTTAAGCTTGCTCTTTATCTTTCTCTAATTCTTAGAACAGAGATTAAAATTAATCTGCGTTGGTGGAATCGGGCATTAGAGTTTAATTAAAAAATACGGTATTATTTATTTGTAATCAAAACATTTAATTAATTTTATTCTGAATTAAAATATACATTTCTAAATTTGCTATTACATTTATTATATACACTATAAATTAATTTATTTTATATTATTTTATATTATTTTATATTAAAGTGGAAGAGTTTCGTATTTACATAAGCAGTAAAATTGGCAGCAAATAACACAACATACTTGAATCACACATCCAACAAACACAGACATGCTTCTCAACTCTGGTACCATGGAAAAATTTATAATTATTGATATTTTCATTCGATATTTCAATTTTAAAATCATACTATTCAAGCCTAGTTAAATTTTTTTTAAAAATTGCAATTAACAATAAATAGTGATATCGAGTATAAATTTTTTAACATTCTTTGGTCTCAAAAATACTTCACAAATGTTGATTGCAATTAGTTTTCAATCTTCTAGTATATCATTACTGTTATCTTCTAAAATAATCGTATTTTGCCTATCCGTAAACAAAGTTTCTTGACTTAGTGCAGGGACTTGACGAGAAAATTCATTAGTCGCCCATAAGAACAAATCCAATGTTTGCTCCGTGCATTCCGCTATGAATCTGATAAACGGTCGAACATCTCCGACATTGGCTAATTGCAAATATTCGTAATATTTATGACGATGTTGTTTGTGGATAATAACAGGTGGATATCCAGCTTGCATAAGAATCATGTTCATGAGTAAGCGAGACGTTCTACCGTTTCCATCAGTAAATGGATGTATATGCACCAATTTGTAATGTGCGAGAGCTGCATACCTATAAAGATAATTTTACCAGTTAATCTCTGTTGCTAAATCTTCTCAGAAAATGTCTGATAAAAGTAAATACTATGGAAAATATATATCAAATGAATTATATTAGATTCATTCACCTCACTGGATGCATTCTGATGGCTTGTTCGCTATTCAACCATAACACGAACTCTTCCATCAGATAATGTATATCTCCGGGACCTGGCGGTATATGTCCGCCAACATATACCTGAGTCCTTCGAAACTGACCACCTTCAACAGGGTCTACGTGTCCCAATACACGTCTATGTAGCTCTAATATATCTTTTATAGAGATGGATCCTACCCTGTTATGATATGGATAAATAATAATGAAATAATTGATAATATTTTTATTACCTCACAAGATTATTCTATAGAAACTTACCTATTAACTAAAGTCGAATTGATATATTTCATGGCAGCATCTAATCCAAGGATTTCATTGTGCTCATCGATACTCTTTCCAGAAACTGCAATACGGGTCTCAACTATGGCTCTGGTCTGTGCTAGATTCATGGTGTTTCCCTCAATTCCAACTGTATGGTAGATATGTTGAAAATAAGCTTCTTTTTTAGCACGTATCAATGCAGCATTATTATCAGGTATATTGGACAGTGTATTCCTCTTATCATCAATACGCTTGAGCATTGCTCTGTCATGCTCGTTAACCACACGAGCCGTTCTTTGATTATTTATTAAAGCACCTTCATGATTCGGTTTGTAAGTTAAAGCACGCACGTAAAACTCATTAGCCTTAATCACATTCTTTTGAGTATGCTCTAAAAATTCTCCATAATGATTCAAAACGTCAGGATGACAAGGTGCCAATGCCACTGCATGTTGAAATAATTTTATAGCTTTTTCTTGCTTCCCAGATAGTTTCATATCTAGAGCTGAATGCAAAGATGCTAAGGCTTCTGTTACTGATGCAACTGTACAGTGATTCTGATCAAGCTCAGTTTTACTGAATGGAATGGAGAGCGTATGATCATCGTGGACACTTAAAATATCTTCTGACGGAAGCGGTATAAATATAGAGTGGCTGTGATCAAGTTCCTCTCCTAGAAAAAAGATAAAACAAATCTGTAACAGCATAATATTAACTGTCAAAATCACAGATAAATAAGATCTCAATTTTGTCATAAGAAAAGAGATGTAGAAAAGGATATATCATTTCATATCATGGCAAACATACCTAACGGTTTACTTCGAAAATCCGTGGACAGAACGCCCAGGATGTATTTTGACAGCAGCGTGCTGATGCCGGCGACAGCGATCCCGAGAATAAAGACGAGGGAAACGAGACGTTTCGGTGTCATATCGTCTGTGGAGCGCGCGACATCCCCGCGTTTGACATTTACGTGAATATAATGTGCATAATAATCGTGGATCCACGCCGACAGCATCTCCTCTCGCGGCGATTCCAGACTGTCTCACTCGAAGTGGCGGCGAAGCGTGGCATGCTGGTCAACGGTCGACGAGTTGTCAACCGTGTCATTCGTGTATAAATGTCCATGTGACGCAACGCGACGCGCTCGTTTGTCTTCGCGGCGACGAACGATGACGAGCGACGACACGACGCGACACGACGCGACACGAGACGACAGCCGACGCGGCGCGTCCATGTGGTCCGTCCCGATTGGCCAGCCGCTCGCATAGTCTCGCGGATCTCGCGCGCCATTGGCTCGCCCGTTTCGCCGTTCCGCCGTTCCGCGAGTTCCGCCCCATTTCGCAGTAACTTCGTCTCTCAATATTTCCAAGATGCTGGAACAACGCGAAAAAGAATCAACGTGGCGTTCGCACGATTAGAATTTATCACACGACGCTCCCCGATTGGTAATCATGCTGATAATTTTCGCTCATCCGCTGATTAGATCTATCGCTCGGCATATGTCTAATTTCAAATGTTCCGGCGATTCTTTACGTCCTCCTCCTCATCCCACTCCTACCGCAGACGCTACTGCTGATATTCCAATTTGAAACTTGGTTGTTTGGATTCTACTCCTGCGCTCGATCTTCGCGTCCGAGATGTAAGTAATGCGGTCGAGTTTAATAATTATATGAAATATGACCGAAATATATTGAAATTGCAGGCAAAGTACGGTATAAACGTGAACGCGTATTTCAAGAATCGTATTCGTGAATGGCAATGTCGCAGACAAGAATCTGCACAGGTATTCAAAATGGCCGTTACTTCGTTTCCGAGAAATGCGACGTCGATCGACGACGAGGAATATCGGATAAATCTTAGGTATTGCCATTATATAATTTTAATAATTGCTATTATCATTGTCCATATTATAATTGTTATAGTTTTATAATTAGTCTTAAAGAGATTATATCAGATGAAATTTATATTGCAAGATATGTTCCAACGGCATCGCGTTTACCCGAGTTTTATTAGTCACATATGAATTACTCTGATATACGAAAAATAATACAAAATATCCTCTTATTACAAAATATTTTCCTATTATAAAAATTATTCATTTAACAGATTCAAATATAGGGAATAAAAATTCCCGAATTGCTAAGAAAATACATGCAAGTAATTTAACACAATCAACTTCGGATCTCGATACATAATATATTTTCTCCTCGAAGCGAAAACCGCCATTTTTCATATCCGATCGTTATAAAGATGCTTCTATCTTTTCATGTATCTCTTCTAATTTTCGCACTTCCAACTCGACATCGCCACGGTGGAGTAAGTATTTTTTTATGAAAACCCTCCTGAAAAATGATAATGTCACATAAATATTAAAACTAGATCATATAATTACTCTATTATTTTTTATAAGTGGTTACATTGTTTACTATTTAAATTAAAACAAGTCATATATTATATTTCTGTTTCTTATATTTTAGATTCTTGAGATTCTTTAGTTTCTTAGATTCTTGAAAATTTAATATCTTACTTTGATTCGCGAAGTAGGCACGCTTTCGCTACTGATACGTGAATAGGTTTGCAAAGGACTGGGAACTATTTCGCAATCCACTTTATAGGCATTAGAAGTATTACTGTTTTTTTCCATTTTTTTGGATTTATTATAAGACATAGACTTTCTCGATTTCCAATTTGTTTCATTTCTATTTATAATATAATCAAAGTGATTTATACAAAAATAAATAAATTTAATAAAAAGCTAATACAAGTTTTAAGTAGATATATAAAATCGAGCAAAATTCTATTCTTCTTCTTCTAAAAATACCTGTACAATCGTCGATCTGGGATCTTATCGTTCTGATTTTTTATAATTTGCGGCATGCGATATTGTTGGGGCGATAAAAGCGCATTCGTGGTATCGTATTGAATCTTCTGAAAGGACGAGAAATTAAGAATGACTAAGGAATCCCGCGTGATCGACATAATCGTTGGGATCAGGGATATGGGGTAAAAGGAAGTCGAATTTTACGTAATTTCTCCGTTCCTCGGAAGAGCGATTTTTGTTTCCGGAGTGGCACCGCCAGTTCCACGTCGTGGAACCGTGTAATGAGGATTTCTTGACCGATCGATCTTGCACCTGGCCGCGTCGCATAACGATTATGTGATCGGTATTGTCAGAGTTCCCGGAAATACTACTTCGAAAAATACTTTTTCTGTATCAATATAATAAAGAAATATCTTAATATTATTCGACTTACTTTAAAAAAAAATCGACATTGTTTAATATTGAAATATCATAATGTATCAATAAAATAAATGAGTTTATTCGTTAAAAAAACTCGTAATTAAGATTATAAGTTTTACATTTTGTAACTATATATTATTTAGTTATATTTAATTTTTATTTTTTTTTCCTAAAAGATATACGATATCTATTCATATGGAATTGAAAAAAAATTTATATAGTTGTTCTATATATTTTATTATTACTTGATGGTTGTGGTTGATGAAATATCTTCAGTTCGACATGTGAAATTTTGAAGAAGACGCGGCGCTAATTGATATGTAGCAGCGGCTGCTTGATGCAATTTATGTTTTCTGTTAAAAAAAAAAAGACACACGGATATGAATACATTAAAGCGTAAAAAGAGACAGAGAGCTTTCTCGTAAAAAACATCTTCTTTAACTGATGATCTTACTTAATGTTATACATGCCGCCAATTTCTCCGTATTTTCGTCTCATTATTTCAGCCTCGACAGCAGCCACGGTTGTTCGCATTGTCGTCGCGATCTCGTTCACTATCTACAATAATCAGCGATGCAATCACCTTGCACGAGTATTTCATATGGCGTTACTAATTGGGCGCATATCTTAGAGCCGACCAAAAAACCGTCGAATAAATACGGTATTAAAATTGGGAATTCAGTGCACATAATAGCGCGGGGAATATAATAATGCAGTTGATATGAAAATACGAGAGTTTGTTAAAATTTTTCCATGAATAATAGAAGCATTGGTAGAATAATAGAAGCTTGGTAAAATTGAAAAATATGTCACGAATAATAGAAGTTTTTTTTAGAAAAATTAAAAAAGTTTGAGACGTGATTTAAAAAAAAAAACATTAAAATATACCAAATTATAATTTGGAAAAAGTAGTCAGGGAAGTAAAAAATTATCAAATCTGAAATAAAAATAATCGCGAGGACATAATGTACGCTGTATTTCTTATACACATTCCTCTTTCTTCCTTTAAATTCTACGATAATGGTTGAAGATTCTGGAGCATCGTGCATATATTACCGCGACATGATTGGAAACATTCAAGTCGTCTTCAGAGCGAAGGTGAAAATTGCTTTTTGACGACGCGAGGATCCACGGGTGGTCAAGGATTTCTCGAATAGTGATCCTTTCACGAACCGATGGAACGAGTAGGCGGTTTATCAGATTCCTGTATTCGATTGACGTTTGATACATGGCTCTTTCCTGAATCGATGTCAAGCCCCTGTTGATCTGGACCATCAGCCTCCGTCGACGTTCCTCTGACGATGTCCATTCGTCGCGAGGACACAGAAATGGAAGTCGACCAATGATCATTCCGTACAAAACGACTCCTCTAATTGTAATCATGTAATTACATAAGATTCAACCATTGTGCCAAAGAATATTTTTATACGCTGTATTAGTGATATGCCGAATTGTATAATTTTTTTCTTGACGTCATATGACTCTTACCAATTACTAAACAAAAAATTTTCATGATACTGATCAAATTTGTTATATTCATTTACTTACAGACTCCACAAATCCACTTCCGGCCCGTATCGTTTACCTATGATGAACAGCTCGGGAGCAGCATATTCCGGAGATCCGCAGTGCGTCCGTAAAGGATCATCGGTGGCGTAAATATTACTGAGACCAAAATCTACAATCGTGAAAAACATCTGTCTGTGAGTGTTTTCTACAAAACATATTTTAACCTTCGCTATTATAGTTACAGTCGTGTATTGCGTTAACTTATGTATAATCCGCAATTCCAACATATATATAAATAAATAAATAAATATATATATAAAATAATATAAATTTAAATTTTAAAGATAAGCTACATAATTTAAATTTCAAAAATTAAAATTTAAATACAAAATTATTTATCTTATTTTTTTTTATTTTCACAAAAATAGAAAATATTCGTATAAAACTAAGAAGTATTCGTATAAAACTAAGTTTTTCGTTCCATTTGATACGTTTGTTAAAAATTCTGAATCAGATAGGTTATAACAATCGGGAAGATCATTAAGAATAACGGACATTATGTTTCTGCGTAATTATATAAATTGCGGCCAATTCTATCGCAAGTGTAATTTTTTATGCAGAGCTCTGTCGGGCACAGGTGGATCTGATTTCACGCTCGAAAATCAAGCGTCACGCGAGCGGAAACATTATAGTTGCGATTTTCGCGGTGCACGCTAATCTACGCGGTTCGATCGATGGCGATTGCTACAATCGCCACGACCATAATGTTCTTTAGTCCCGCGCGATACGTCGACGTCCGTGTACACACGTCTACCTCTCACCTACTATCTTGATCTGTTCCTTGCGTTCGTCCTGTAGCACAATATTCTCCATTTTGAGATCCCTGAAACACGTAAAATTGTAAGAATTAAAAAAAATATATATATTAGGCAATATCTTAAAAACGAGATTTAAGAAAAAGATTAAAAACATTTTATTTTTAAAGAAAATTTATGTATATATTTTAAAATCAATTTAACTTTTGATAATACAGATAAATATAAAATTGATTTTTTTCTTAAATTTGGGAAGATATACTTTTTATTATACCAGTTTTTAAAATTCAACATTAATTTATATCTTGATAATTAAATTCGGGCTTAATTAAGTTTTTTCGAAACATTTATTTGAAGTTACATCGATATCAAAGTTTCGTTATTTGGCATTTAATTATTTTACATATCTTAAGATTTCAATTAAAAAGGCGGAATTCAGCTTAATTAACGGAAACACCATTGAGATTAATATTGGTATTTTTTTCCTCGTTATCGGTGTTATTTCGTTCTACCGAATTCACGATTATGATTTCTCGCGTTCTGCCGAGAGCCTTCTGATAGTGCAAGAATTACGCAGGCGGAGATTGCAGGCGGATTGAACCCGAGAAAAAGTCCACGCCGTATGCATATGCAAGCGGCTGTAGGCATATGCGTGTGCAGTTTGCACGATCACGTAGCGCGTTCGCGAGATTAACGCTCTCGGCGCAAGAACCCCGTGGCCCTGACCATCGCGCGAAGGTCTCTTTGCTCGTATCGCCGTCTACGAGCGCGGCTCGCGGACCTTGCAAATTGTCGTTTCGTCGGCATGACGGCCTCTCGGCCTCTCGATGGTATCGGGTTCCCTCGTTTCTCGATCTCGCCTATACCCTTGATGAGACGGTTCCCTCAATGCGGAACCAACGTCCCCGAAATTTTACGACGCGTTTCAACGTGAATTTATCTATTACTTAGATTTAACTTTTCACACCGATGTCGCAAGCACTTACTATTTTCTCAGAGAAGCAAATTACATTAATTCTCCACATCTTATTATTAAATGCGAAGAACGGTAATTTCTCTTTCCCTTTGCGATTATCCTCTCTAAAAATGTAATATAATAGTGAATGTACAGCGCGCAATAATAATGGAATGGTGTTAGGAGAACGTCTTATAAAATTAGCCAAAGATTCCGTAGATAGGTGAAGTGATGTCAGCGGAATATCTCATTATTATGAAATCAAATGTGGAAAAATGTTAGCACGTTTCGTACAAATGGTCGCCAATCTGCAGATGGTCTGCAGAAATATCGATGTAAGGGGTCGAAACTTCTATCTACGGCCAGCTGTCACCGGGATCAGGCAGCAACGGCCCTGTAGCTTATCCGTGGCAGAGACCTTGGGGCCTTGAAACACATCATTAAAATCGCATCGCCAGCGCGCGCGATGCGAGAGCGGAGTCAGTATGCGCTTTAGGTGTCGCTAATAAGTAATAAAAGAGGACTCGCTCCTCGGAACACGTGCCCGCGGCGAGGTTAATACCGTCATGGGATGCAAGACGCGTTGGACGGGGTCGTTATTCGTTGGCGGAATCTAGAACGTTCGCAGCACTTTTCTTTATTCCGTGCTTCTAGTCACCTTCCATCGGGCCTCGAAATCGTCCGAATCTCGCGAACGAACTCCCCGACACGTCCGAAGAGAAAAAGCAACGTGAAGACACGAATAGTTCCCCCAGATATTTTATCAGTGTTAATTTATGTGTTGGTTTATATCTGTTCTTTCGTTATCGTCAGAGATTATATTCGGTATTCCGTTAATTTCAATCAATAATTATTCAAAGATAATTATCTCTAATCATAGTAAGTACGTTAAGTGTTATTGAAGCAGAAATTTGAAACAAGATAAAAATTTGAAGCAGTATTTGTATATACGTTAATTTTGTCTCTTTCTAAAAAATATAAAAATGAATATAATACGTTTATATTAATTTTTATTTATATTATTAAAGAATTCAACATATATATATATATATATATAAAAATGTTAAATATCAAACATTCCGCAAATACAATTAATAAATAAGCACCCATAAGAGAAACTCCACGCAATTAATTAATATCTACGCGTTTTAAAATCATGCGGGGATATTACGTAATTATCGGGTGATCCTCTCATATATAAAATTAACGTTTCGCGTTATCAATATTGGAGCGGTGTTAAAAAGTCAATGTAGACTTAAAAGAGTATCGAGATACCGAGGCAGGGCATCCATAGTCCCCGATAATCAAGGCATAAGGGAGAATACGGTACTCCAATATCGAATCGTGAGTACCGCCGCTGGTTTCGAGCGGATGCAACGAACCGAGCGCGGCCTCCGAGCGATGCGTTTCTGCTGCATCCTCGACTGCTGCGGGATAATAGTCGAAACGACCCTGAAGCCGAGGCCACGGTTGTTCGTTGGCCTGGACGATTACGTTTCTTTTCCATCGTCGTAGGAGCCGCGCGGCGGCGGCGCGCGTTCCTGGGAAACGCGCCGCTTTCGCGACGAGCTTTCGCGACAAACCGCGCGAGATCCGATTAAAGCTTTCGCGCTTCTCCCGCGCTCGTCCGCTCACAATCGCGCGAACATAATTGCCGGCGTAAAGCGACAGGTGGTCCCGCGGATCTCTGATAGAAGGGAGAAGGGGAAAAAAAAAGGAAAGATAAGAGGTAAAACGAAAAAACGCGAGATACGTCTCGCACGCCGGCGCTGTTAACGATCGTCCCTTCTCTCGCCACCTCTCGCTCTGAAAATAAACTCGCGCGGCCCGTGACAAAAGTGATCGATGAACACGACGATCCAGATATTCCTGGTGATCCACGGGCGAGCGACGAGAGATGAGCTCGTGTGTAGGAAGATGGAGCCACGAGCTTCATCCGAGGAGGACTGCGTTCGGTACAGCGTTTTCTATTGCGAAGATAAGAATTTTCCTTCTGTTATAAACAGGAGGCGAAAACGTGAAATTTTTGTGTTTTTTAATTCTTTTTCCGACTTTTCCCTTAAATTACATTTTTATAATTATGTTTATTAAATATTTTGACGCATTAAACTTTAATCGGGGATAATTTGCAAATTTTTGAAGAAGACTTTATTCTCGATAATTTGACCGTGACACGAAAAGCGCTCCCGCTTTTATGGATTTATTGCCAATTGACAGTTATCTTTTACATATCATCAAACAAGCTGATAGCATCATCTACCGTACATGTTCCCGCAGTCCCGCATTTACCTTCTCGCGCTCGTAAATGCTCGTACGCGCGTCCGATGCACCCGCTTGACTCGGATGCGCGCATCCGCGTAAGTACTTAAATTTAATTGCCGACCGTGACCGTTACATCGCGGTAGTTATTTCGGTCTTAATAACTCAGGTCCACTGAGCTGTCGCTCAGTTGAGCGGGGTCATGTCCGTGTTACGAGTCGCGAAATCGCCGTACGAGACGCGCCGAGGTCGAAACACGTGAAATCACACGCGAAAGCGGAGCGAGCGATTTATTGTTCTTGCCACACATAAATATTCGCGGCATAAGCATTCATTGATACGCACGCGAGATCGTACCAGAATAGATAATAAGAGATATCTCAAATAAAACGCTCGAGACAAAAAGATTTTTAATAAACTATCCCATGCGCATCCGAATGATGATAACCGATAATACGATAACTGCATGCAAGTTGCATGCAGAAAATAATTCGAGCCGTTTAGCGGAAAAAAACCGACGTAAACATATTCACGCCCTTTAGTATTCGTGTAAATTGCGTGTTTGCAATTGTGCAGTTGTACACACAGTCTGCCATTTATCTCAGTGAAACACATCTTAATTGAATTTTAACAACAAATTCATTGGAGAGAATTTGGAGTAAATTTTTCCTTCTGAAAACTAACAAAATATCCCGAGTTCTTGCTGTAATTATTTAATATAAAATATTAATTCGTGTAATAATTACACCATAAATTACAAAATCTGAGAAACAAAAGATGAAGATTTTTAGCCACACCAGAGTGCTATAAATACATTTGTAGCGAGATTTTTCGATAGACGCATTCGTATTTCGAGCACCTAATGTATACGTTTAACGACTCGGCAAAATAATATGCTTTCGAAGATCAACGAGAAATTTATGAAATTTACGTTTATTTTACATGCACCGATGAATATGCATCATGATCGAGACGCATAACGTTGAGGATCGTGAAGGCGACGACGAGGTTGCGTATCCCCGGTTCGTCGAACCGAAACCCGCGTGTACGACGCGTATCTTATTTTTCCAGCTGGCACCCCGCGTCGATTCCGTGCCGCAAACAGCGAGAACAAAACGGGTTTGCGGCTTATCTCGTCTTAATACGCCGTTTATCAGTACGTCGATACACGCGCGGTGTGTTTATCGGCGGTAAGCGATGACGCGTCTTTTCGACCGGATATCAGCGGCACCTGGCCGCGTCCGAAAGTGTTCGCATTCGCGGCTGTTAACCCCTCCGTCGTTAAAAAGCGCATTCACTCGGAACGGAAAATTCTCACGACGCGAGCCGATCGATCGTTACGAACGCCCTGTCTGCTTTTTCCGCGCGCGGTCTCACTTTTGTAATTATTCCAAAAGATTTACATCAGCTGCTAATGATCGGTATCGAACTTTACTCGCCTTTGCGCTCTAGCCGTGTAATCTTCCGTTATTACACGGTAAAACGATATTAATGTTAATTAGCAGTCATTCCGCGCTGGCACTATATGGTTTACTAAGGTTTTACGTGTAATACTGGGAGATTATATGGGCTAATGTGTAAAAACAAACAACGCCCAATGCGATAGTCATTAAAGCCGATGAATTTTATTTACAATAGTCACGAACGTAATGGGCGAACGAATGAATAATGCACGCTAAAGTTACCAATTATTTCTAGTTAGTGTAACAAATTCTGGCATTAAAATCTCATCTCGAGGTATTATTCTTTTCGATAGTTCATATTTATCAAGACAAAAATCGAGATTTCGTCCCATTCTATTTTCCTCAAAATTGTGAGTGATTTTTAAACTGTCTACAGACACACACACACAGT